TTGCTTGTTAAGTTGCTTCATTTCATTCAGATATATGGGGTCTGCAGTTCTTTGGAATGTTTTTCTATAGTAATTTCTTAGTCTGATGATATTCTTGATTTGTATTGGTAGTTTGTAATGATGTGCTATTTTACTTATTTCGGTGGTTGCTGCTTCGTATGCTTTAGTTATTTTTTGCTGTTGTTGATGGATATGGTTTTCGATGGTGGGCTCGTCTTCCAGGTTGGGTGGGTTGCTATTGTTTGCTGCGAGTATTTTTTGGTAGAGATTCCAGTCTGCTTTAAGTTTTGGTTTTTCATGATGCAGCGTGGTTAGTCCTATTGAGAATTGCACGGGTAGATGATCGGAGGAGAGCTGGTCGAGTGAGTAGGCTACTATGGGAATTTGGAGGTTGGTAATGGCAAAGTCCAGAATGTCGGAGCTGTTGGTTGAGATATGTGTTGGGCTGGTTGTTGCTATGACAGTCAAGTTATTATCCAGAACTAGTTTTCTTAGGTGATATCCATTGTTGTTGGTGGTGTTGCAGCCCCATATTGTATGTTTACTGTTTAGATCTCCTGCAATTATTGTTGGTATATTTGGTGGAAAAAGAAGTTGTATATCTTGATCTGTGAGCTGATTTTGTGGCGAGTTGTAGATTCCTGTAATTTTAATATTTTGATTTTGGTGATTTAATAGTATAGATATTTGCTCATATCCTCTATCTGAGGTTTGGTTAAAGGTGGTGGTTATTAGACTATTTTTTGCTAGTAGCGCTACTCCTCCTCCTCTATAGTTTCTGTCGCATCTATGCACTCTGTAGTTAGCTATTGTAAGGTTCAATGTTGTATTTAGATGTGTTTCAGTTATTATTATGATGTCTGGGTTGAAATCGATGATGAAGTTTTTGAATTCGTGTTGTTTATTAATGATTCCGTTGGCATTCCATATTATGAGGTTGAGGGATGGTTTGGTTGTTGTTTTAATACTCATCTTGTTCTATGTCTTCTTCTTCTTGATGTCTGTCAATGATTTTTGTTGAATGTGTTAGAAATGCTTTGAAAAGTTTCATTCCCCCGTCGTTCTGCACAAGGTCTACAAAGGACTTTAGTTCTGCTAATATTGATCTTGCTTCTCTGATTACGTCTGTGTTGACTGTTTGATTGTTTGTTTTTAGCTTGTCTGCATATGTGGTAAACTGTTTGTTGCTTGGAGAAAATATAGGTGGATTATTCGTACGTCGGGATGTTTGGTTGATTGGATGTTTGGAGCACTGTTTGTAGTTGGCCGGATGTGGTTCGCCGCAGTTGGCGCAGGTCGCTGCAGTTTCTCTTGTTTTCTTGCATAGGTAAGTTAGATGTTCCTGACCACATTTTAAGCATTTTGTTGTGTGTCGACAGGATGCCTGCACATGATTGAATTGCTGGCACCTGTGGCACTGGGTGTAGTCTCGGCGTCCTCTGTAGCTTGTGACAGTTACGACGAGGTCCTTAAATCGTGTCATATGAAATATTGATTTGTTTTCTTCTGTTTTTTCAAGAGTGACTATGTGCAGTGGGAGATTCTGTTGTCCTTCTTCTGTATATCTTTTCATCTGTTTTATATTTTTTGCGTGATAGCCATATTGTTCTAGATTAATTTTTACCTGTTCAGCTGTTATGTCAGTCGGGATACTTTTTATAACTACTTTCAGTGATCTTTCCGTATTGAGTTGAAATGTATGGTATTGAACTTCAAGTTGATCCAGTATTTTAATTGCTTTTCGTCTGTTGTCAATTTCAAAGAAGTGTAGGAAGTGTAGTTTGAGAGCATCTCCTGTGAATTTTCCTTCAAATCCAGTTATATTTTGTTCCTGTAGGGTTTGTTTTAGTTCAGTCCATATTATTTTCGGGTCTTTTATTATGATTGGGGGTAATCCGGCTCGCGTCCGTCTTTGAAAAACAAATTCGCCTTCTTCATCCATCTCTTCGGTATCCGTGACGTAATTGTCGTCTTAGCGGCCGCTTCTCACAGGTCCGCTGGCGATTCCTATTGTTTCATTTCTGGCGCTTGCCGGTGGGAGGTAACTTGTGGATGGTTGCGGTGAGGTGGTGCCATCTTGTGGTTTAGAGGAGTTTTTCATCATCTGAGCTATGGGATCTGTTTCTTTTCTGTACTGCATTTTGCTTTTCACTCTGTTTGTTGATGCTAGGTTGTTTCTGTTCGTTCTTGTTTTTAGTTGCTGTCTTTTTCTTGTTTTGTTTTTTAGGTGATACTTCTGTTGTTGGAGTTTCTGGAATCAGGATTGATGCTTCTGCGTACTGCTTTGACATTTTTTGCAGATGCTTGTTTTCATTACGCAGAGTTTCATTTTACTTTTTGCAGTTTGTCCACTGTTTCTTGTAGCTGGTTGATTTTTTACATAAGTTGATCGTTCATTGCCTGGTTTTGTTGCGTTAGGGTGTTTATCAGGTTGGTGACCCAGGGGGGCTGTTCACTGTTGTTGTTGGCCATTCTTGCAGTATTAAATAAAATTAGAATGAAATAAATTAAAGTTT